GGGGGGGGGGGGGGGGGGGCCTGAACAAAGACACTCAGATGTGGAGTGCGGAGTCAGCAGGGAACGCGGTGCCAGTATGTGCCAGGATGCGGAACGAGAGGACGGAGCGTGCCAGGGAGGCCGGGAGACACCCAGGCACAGCGAGGACACAAATCTCACTGGGGGCCACATCAGCAATGTCTCAGCATGTTGTGTCCAACATCTCATCATTCGGCTCTCTAATCTGAGTGGACATTCTCACCTCTGCGGCAATCCGGAATGTGTTTCTGAATCTGGAAAACGTTTTCTTCAAGCGAAACCCGAACACTCTAGCGACCCGTGGATATTTTTTGGGGAGAAGGAGTCACGGCGTATTCATATGTAATTATCACAGTTGAGACTATTTTCAGTGGGGGGGGGGGGCCAGTAGCCCCTATCATAATTGTTGTTGCCCCTGTCTGCCTGACATCTTGTGTCCGGGTTTCTGCTGTCATGAAACCCGGACACAGCATTCAAAACCCGGACTGTCCGGGTGAATTCTGGACAGGTGACAACCCTAGAAAGAAGCTGGACACAGACGTTGCCTAAAGATTCAGCAAGAGCATTAAACAAACTCGCCATCTTGAAGCCCTGAAAACAACCTGCAACCTGGCAGCACTGAATACAGATCTCAGGGGCTGTGTGTGCAATTAAGCCTTGAAAAAACAAAACTTTTAGCTGCATCTGTATTTTTTAGGAAGCTTCTGATGACAGCTAAAGGCTTGTTTAAAGCTACAGCCAGCATTCTCCTTAAAGTGGACCGTTACCCCCTTTGACTAAAAAGCATACAGCTCTGCATGCTGATATGAAATCTTCTTACATTCGTTAGCTAAACAAACATATTTTTCTTTTCTTTTTTTTAACTTCCTGGTCCTCTTGGGCATTAGTGATGTAATCTGCGGATTGCATTGCATCCTGGGAAGATCACAGCAGCAGAGCATTGCTGGGAAATCTCATCTGTAATCTCATGAGATCTCCAGAAAAAGGCTTTTTTCTCCCCTGAGATGATGTGCAGGTTGCTTCCTGAAAACATCACAGCACCATGTCTCAGTACTCCTCTCAAGAGCCCTCAACCCTGATGCAAGCAGTGGGCCGGCTCTTGGGAGGAGCAATGCCAGTATCATAATGCCCTGATGGGTGGATGTCAGTCTCATGGAGTGGCTGCTCCTACACACATGTCATTCACATGCAGACTGACCTAGATAGCGCCCACATGCTGAGCCTCCATGGATGAAAGAACTGAAATCCAATGAATGAAAGGGGTGGGGCCAGCCAGGCTGGGGAGGAATGAAATAGATGCTGCTGGATGTCCTCCAGCCAGGAAATGAGGCGGGCTCTCTCTGACTTGCTACAGCTTCTAATGCAATCAGCACCTTCTTTCCACTTTCTGGGAAGGTTCAGCCAGCTGGAGATGTTCTAATGTCTCATCTGTGACATCATTTTGTACTGATAAAGGAACGTTTATATATAAAGATTTAAGGATCAGAGAACGGGGTGCGTCAGGAAGAGATTTTGGGTTTAATCATTGGATGGGAATGTGAGCGCAGAGATGGCGGGACACAGACAGGAAGCAGGCTGGTCTCTGCATGTGCTGGGGTTACAGTAGCAGAGCTCAGGATGTCACTCACCACAATGGAGTCACTGGCCCCCGTGGAGAGGTAGATGTCATCAGGGTCGGAGCGTATTCCACCATCTCTCTTCTCAATGTATTTGGCAACATCTTGCCGGATGACCTCAATACCTTGGCTGGCACTGTAGGAGCCTGTGATGGGGAAACAGTGAGAAGGACGAGGTTAATTGCAGGAACTGGGGTGATCTGAGGGGTGAAGGTGCAGGAATTGGGGTGATCTGAGGAGTGAAGGTGCAGGAATTGAAGTGATCTGAGGAGTGAAGATGCAGGAATTGGGGTGATCTGAGGTGTGAAGGTGCAGGAATTGAAGTGATCTGAGGAGTGAAGATGCAGGAATTGGGGTGATCTGAGGAGTGAAGGTGCAGGAATTGAAGTGATCTGAGGAGTGAAGATGCAGGAATTGGGGTGATCTGAGGAGTGAAGGTGCAGGAATTGAAGTGATCTGAGGAGTGAAGATGCAGGAATTGGGGTGATCTGAGGAGTGAAGGTGCAGGAATTGAAGTGATCTGAGGAGTGAAGATGCAGGAATTGGGGTGATCTGAGGAGTGAAGGTGCAGGAATTGAAGTGATCTGAGGAGTGAAGATGCAGGAATTGGGGTGATCTGAGGAGTGAAGGTGCAGGAATTGAAGTGATCTGAGGAGTGAAGATGCAGGAATTGGGGTGATCTGAGGAGTGAAGGTGCAGGAATTGAAGTGATCTGAGGAGTGAAGATGCAGGAATTGGGGTGATCTGAGGAGTGAAGGTGCAGGAATTGAAGTGATCTGAGGAGTGAAGATGCAGGAATTGGGGTGATCTGAGGAGTGAAGGTGCAGGAATTGAAGTGATCTGAGGAGTGAAGATGCAGGAATTGGGGTGATCTGAGGAGTGAAGGTGCAGGAATTGAAGTGATCTGAGGAGTGAAGATGCAGGAATTGGGGTGATCTGAGGAGTGAAGGTGCAGGAATTGAAGTGATCTGAGGAGTGAAGATGCAGGAATTGGGGTGATCTGAGGAGTGAAGGTGCAGGAATTGAAGTGATCTGAGGAGTGAAGATGCAGGAATTGGGGTGATCTGAGGAGTGAAGGTGCAGGAATTGAAGTGATCTGAGGAGTGAAGATGCAGGAATTGGGGTGATCTGAGGAGTGAAGGTGCAGGAATTGAAGTGATCTGAGGAGTGAAGATGCAGGAATTGGGGTGATCTGAGGAGTGAAGGTGCAGGAATTGAAGTGATCTGAGGAGTGAAGATGCAGGAATTGGGGTGATCTGAGGAGTGAAGGTGCAGGAATTGAAGTGATCTGAGGAGTGAAGATGCAGGAATTGGGGTGATCTGAGGAGTGAAGGTGCAGGAATTGAAGTGATCTGAGGAGTGAAGATGCAGGAATTGGGGTGATCTGAGGAGTGAAGGTGCAGGAATTGGGGGGATCTGAGGGGTGAAGGTGCAGGAATTGGGGCTGATCTGAGGGGTGAAGGTGCAGGAATTGGGTCTTATATAGACAGACCCCATTTGCGGCCCTGCACTGACCCATGCTGTTGCCCCCGCAGGCCTGCAGGATTCGCATCGCCTTCTGCTTGGCATCATCCGGAAACTTGTTGTCGTTCAGCAGCTCTGGGTACAGACACAGGGCATTGACCTGGCAGGAAGGACAAAAGGAGAGAATGGGCACACACAGGAGGACCAACATGAAGAGATAAGTTATACCGAGGGGGGGTGATTTTTGGGGAAAGTGCAGGATGGATCAGGAAACTTGTCACCTTCCAGGGCCACCATATTGGCCCCAAAATACAAGAAGCACTAATATGCAAATAGCCACCTCAGTTGGGGTAATGTAACATGGCTCTGTATTTGGGGAAAAGGGCGGGTGAGTGAATTGGGGCACTTCCACTGCCGACCACTAGAGGCACAATTCCCAGCAGGAGGCCCCTATTCTCTATCAATCTTCATAAATTCCCCATTTCCAGAGATTTATACAATACAGACAATGAAAAGAGTGTTTAGTAACTAAAGTAAAAAAAACACAATACAGGTCACATGAATGCCCATCAAACTATCCGCGCAGCACCACTGAGCGGCTCGCGCCGCATTGAGTGCAGGGCCCCCTCTAGTGAATGCACCGAGTATTGCAGCCTCACCTGTCTGAGGAATGTGATTGGCTTCTGGCCCATGGCGTGCGCATCTCCGATGTTGGCTTTGATCACCTCTGTGAACGGCTTCTTCACTCCCTAAAAATGGAGAACAACCCAGATTAATAACACCAGAACTACATCGAACGACATGCTGCCCTAATTCTGTATGTATGGGCTCTGCACAGTACTACTTCTCTTGTCCTGTATGCCGGGTGTCATTCTCAGTATCTGTTCTTATTCTGTGTGTATGGACTCTGCACAGTACCACTTCCCTTGTCCTGTATGCCGGGTGTCATTCTCAGTATCTGTTCTTATTCTGTGTGTATGGACTTTGCACAGTAGCACTTCTCTTGTCCCTTAGGTAACCTATAGAATTTGCGGTCTTGCTCATAGTATAGGTGGTATGTAATAAGTAACGGGTTAGGCGGAGGATCTGGCGGCGCGGAGGGCGAGGAGTGACCTCTGATCTCCCATTGGCTGGCAGATTCCTCATCGCCCGGCGTCAGCACAAACAGCTTATCGCCTCACCAGGTACAAGCAGAGTTCACTGATTAATATAAAGCAAACACAGGAGGCTGTGGGGTGTGAGAGGCGGCCACCAATCAGCTGTAACTCACCTGCGTCCGTATACCTGTATTCCAAATCACAGCTGGATCCGGGTACAAGTATGACAGGTTCACCTGCTGGAATGTGAGCGCAGGGCTCCCGACAGTGCCGGCCCCATTCCAGAGACATCTGTACTAGTGTGAATCAGAGGAGGAGCACGGTGTGCGGCTATAACCACTCAGTGTACAGCGCTACGGAATATGTCAGAGCTATAGAAATGTATAATGATAGTGTGTGACTGTGGTGGAGGGGGGGGGGGGCATTAGAGTGCAAGCTTCTCTGTACAGAGACTGATGTGACTGTGGGGGGACATTAGAGTGTAAGCTCCTCTGTACAGAGACTGATGTGACTGGCTCAGTGTTCTCTGTACAGCACTGCGGTATATGTCAGAGTTATATACATGTATAATAATAGTGTGTGACTGTGGGTGGGACATTAGAGTGTGAGCTCTTCTGTGCAGAGACTGATAGGACTGGCACAATGTTTTTGGTACAGCGCGGCGGTATAGGTCAGAGACGGCTCAGTGTTCTCTGTACAGTGCTGCGGTATAGGTCAGAGATGGCTCAGTGTTCTGTGTACAGTGCGGCGGTATAGGTCAGAGATGGCTCAGTGTTCTGTGTACAGCGCTGCGGTATAGGTCAGAGATGGCTCAGTGTTCTCTGTACAGCACTGCGGTATAGGTCAGAGATGGCTCAGTGTTCTCTGTACAGCGCTGCGGTATAGGTCAGTGATGGCTCAGTGGTCTCTGTACAGCGCTGCGGTATAGGTCAGTGATGGCTCAGTGGTCTCTGTACAGCGCTGCGGTATAGGTCAGAGATGGCTCAGTGTTCTATGTACAGTGCTGAGTAGATAACATTAGACAGAACATATTTGGGCACCTTTGGAATGTACAGACATGCGAGTTTTCGCCTGAGAGGGTTTCTTGGAAGTGACACTCACCCCTCCCTTGTAGAAGACATTCAGGACTCACCTTTGAGCCCCGGGAACACCGCCAGAGCAGCCACCACGCTCTGCGCTCTCTGCCACCGACACCTCCTATAGATCTGCCATCACACAGACCCCTCATGTATTATATATCAGGCAGTGGCATGCATCACAAGGGGGGTTCGTGGGGTGCGGCCCGCACCCAGGTGAGAACATTGAAGGGGTGACACCAAAATGACTGACATTCATTTTGGTGTCACTCCCTCTAAAAAAAGTCAGGCACTCGGTCATGGACTGAGAGAGCGACAGTGTCAGGAGAGAGGAGGGGACCCGGCGGCATTCCTCATCTCGCCGGGTGTACGTCCCCTCCTCTCTCTGCCGGCGTCCATCACCAAGATGGCAGCCAGCAGGCGTCGATTAGATGTCACAGGGGGGTGTAACCCGGTCTCCGCTCCGGGTGACACCCGGCCTCGGGATGCCCCTGCTATCAGTGGTAAGCAACCTCGGCACTCCAGCTATCCCATCATGCCTCTACCTCAGGGAGTCATGCCTGTGGCTGTCAGTCTTGCAATGCCTCATGGGCGGGGCTTGAAAAATTTTAGGGTGTCTCATCAGTCAGTCATAAATATCACTAGTCAGCATGACCGGACTATAGCCTTGCAATTTATGTTAACCTTTTTTTGGGGACAGATTCTTTTGGTGGTATATAAAAATCACCACTGGGGGTGGGGGGGTTATTTTTTACTATATAATGAAAAAAGTACAGTAAATGTAAAAAAAACTTTCACTACGTTATCTTAAAACATAAAAGTCGGGGTCATGTCGGGTAAATAGACACAAAACATGTCAAGCCTTAAAATTGCGCGCGCCTGCAAAATCGCAAAAAACTTTGGCTATAGGCGACGCTTAAAACGCTTTTACCGCTCATCAGCTTAGTGTTATCAGTAATTAATGACCCTAAAATGATTGCTCACACTCCGACGTTCACGGTTATATGTAACATGTGCGACACAATAGGCGCAATCGTTGTTTTCGCACGTATGTGGGGGGCGGAAGACTTTAAAAAGAAAGGTTTTTTTTCTTTTTTACATGTTTTTAATGCTTCATATTTTTTTTTATGATTCTTTCATTTTTGTATTCCTTTTTTTTTTTTACACAACTTTATTGCTATCACATGGGGGGTTAAAAGGCCCCCAATGTGATAGCCAGTTTACATGACAGGTCCTCTTTATGAAGACATCAGGGGTCTCCAAGACCCCTAATGTCACCTAGGGACCCCCAGAGAAGCTGATGAAGCAGAGATCGGCTTCATCAGCTTCTGTAGCTGGAAAGTGTCACTGAATGCAGGAAGTGTAATGTACATCACTTCCTGCATTCCGGGACTGGAGAGTAGATCAAAGGGAGATCGTGTACTGAACTCCCTTTGATCTTCTGTCACAGAGCCGTGCCGGTCCTGGTTGCATCGGGCACAGCGGATCTCGGGATCGGTAACGGCAGTGTCAGCTGCTGGTAATACAAGCGATCGGGGGTCTCGAGACGCGCGATCGCTTGAATGTAAAGCTCCCGGCAGGCCGCGTAATTACAACGGCCGGCCGCGAAGCTGCTCGTCGGGCTCCGCCGTCCTCTCGTCACAGACGAGCGGACAAGTGGATTTTTCAAGCCCTGCTCATGGGATTTGTAGTTCCACAACAAAGTGCCAAGCTGTAATGTAATATACAATGTAACAAGGACGATCACCACTTTCTCCACCATCAAGAACCAATTCTGTCACCTCACCGGCCTCTCCTGTGATCATAGAACGAGGCAATAAATTCCTCAGAAACGGGTCAGCCCCGAACATCGTCCACCCAACTGAACCCGACTGAGCCAACCCAGGTCACCGCACCATAAATGTGCAGATAGGACGATATCACCAACCTAGACTGTGACGTGGCGGAGCAATAGAGGTTCATTAAAGTCCAATGTCCTGGAAGAGTTCTCTGTAGTCAACGATGACTCAGCACAGGGAATATCAATATATGTACAGAGGAGCTTACACTCTAATGTCCCTCCCCCCACAGTCACATCAGTCTCTGTACAGAGGAGCTTACACTCTAATGTCCCTCCCCCCACAGTCACATCAGTCTCTGTACAGAGGAGCTTACACTCTAATGTCCCTCCCCCCACAGTCACATCAGTCTCTGTACAGAGGAGCTTACACTCTAATGTCCCTCCCCCCACAGTCACATCAGTCTCTGTACAGAGGAGCTTACACTCTAATGTCCCTCCCCCCACAGTCACATCAGTCTCTGTACAGAGGAGCTTACACTCTAATGTCCCTCCCCCCACAGTCACATCAGTCTCTGTACAGAGGAGCTTACACTCTAATGTCCCTCCCCCCACAGTCACATCAGTCTCTGTACAGAGGAGCTTACACTCTAATGTCCCTCCCCCCACAGTCACATCAGTCTCTGTACAGAGGAGCTTACACTCTAATGTCCCTCCCCCCACAGTCACATCAGTCTCTGTACAGAGGAGCTTACACTCTAATGTCCCTCCCCCCACAGTCACATCAGTCTCTGTACAGAGGAGCTTACACTCTAATGTCCCTCCCCCCACAGTCACATCAGTCTCTGTACAGAGGAGCTTACACTCTAATGTCCCTCCCCCCACAGTCACATCAGTCTCTGTACAGAGGAGCTTACACTCTAATGTCCCTCCCCCCACAGTCACATCAGTCTCTGTACAGAGGAGCTTACACTCTAATGTCCCCTCCCCAACAGTCACATTAGTCTCTGTACAGAGGAGCTTACACTCTAACATCCCAACTTTTTAAACATGAACAGCCTACATGGATCTCCACCAATCACATCATTAATTGCGTCCACTCAGTGTCGGGATTTAACGTGTGATTATGTTTCGGAACCTCATGAAATGTCACTGCCAAGTACTGTAGAGATGTACGGAGTCAGAGGATGGAACCATAAAGAAGTCCATACAACATTCCCATCCAATTATCAGGAGGGGTGATGGTGAAACGGCAGATGGTGCCACCACAACACAAGGCCCCGATCCAAGACATCACCAGCACACCATGTTCAGATGAGAAGATGGGCTGATTTTTGGTCACCAACAGGAAGCAACGTTTCAGGGCCACCTGGAACCTCTTCCTCCGGCAGCAGTGACATTGCCCTAGTGGCCCAGAAACATTGCTTCCTGTTGGTGACCATCCGGTCTTCTCATCTGAACATGGTGTGCTGGTGATACCATAGATTGGGCAAATGGAACCGTGGCACATGGCAGGGGATGCAGAACTTCTATAGCAGGGAATATTTTTAGGCGACTGACTGGGTAGCTTTGAAGGCTTCAACAAAGCTTGCCGAAAGGTTTCCAATGGCCTCTCCAGATCTTGCTGTACACATTTTCTAGAATCCTAAGACCAGAAGAGCAAGGCCATAGAGCTGGTGAGGACACGTAGGTCTGGGCCGAGGGGTAGACAGAAGCGGGCATCAAACAGCAACCTATGCTGTGTTCTGAAGTCGTTCATAGCTCAAGGGTTGCAGGTGGGGAGTGGTGGTTAACTTTGA